TCGAACAAAAAGAAAGGAGTTGGAATATTTAATTTAAACTGGATCTGAGTTTATTCTTAAATGTTTGTGAAGTTGTAACAAAGGGTTGTCTTGAGAATATGGGTCGAAGATGCAAATGAGTTTCAGGGTGTTAATCCGTGAACACAATACCTGAAGATTGGTGGGGCTTAGCCTATGTGGAACCTCCGAGCCCCATTAGCCACATAATTAAGGTGATAAACCCAGTAAGTGCAGTTTGCTAACCCAAGCTATAATTAAGATCTATAACAAGTGAAGATGATTGGAATGATGTGAGAGCCAATAATTGGATGTGAAACTAAATGCATTTCCCCCAGGCCAAAACCCAAACCAAACCAATGACCAAACGGTGTGTGACTGATAGATTATGACTGTTATCTGATAATACCTAGGCACATTTATTTCATTCGGATTCCCTTCCTCTACCCTACACTATCCTATGATGACACAAACAATTTACTTTACCATACAAAAAGAAGTTATATCAAGATGACTTCTAACCCGTCTGCATAACTGTTCTTTCAGTTCGAACCCTTCTTCCAACCAACTTTCAGTTGATCCCTAGTTCCTGGAGCTATCGAGCATACCAGTTATCTATTCACACAAACATCAAAATGGTTTTACGATTATTACACCCTTTTCGAATACACAAACACCACATAACTATACAGTCTTCCTTGGTGATCGGGAAAATATCAATACGGCGACGGCAGTCTTTGGAGAAGTTGCAGACTATTGAGTGAGAGAGTGAGAATTGGACAACTCGGAGTGGTGGCAATAATTCCTTCAACATTGACATTTGGATATTGAACGGAGTGCTGGACAATTGAGCAGTGGCAACGACTAGAACTGATATCGGAAAATGGCATCGATTTTTACATATGAGCCCGAACCCCCAAGGGTAGAATCACCATGGTTGTTGACTCCTACAAATTCTCCTAAACCACCTTCACCTCAGCCATATCCGAAATCTCTCAACAGCTCCCCTGGCTCAACTCACATTTCGGACTATGGAGTCACAAAATTGGAGGCAGAACCACAGGAAGGTCCCACAGAATACAAACTACATCTTTTGTTGCGACCGAGGAGGACGTATAGTACTTCAAGCACTGGCTCAATAATATCTGGTTCTCAACAGCACAAACAGCAACCCCTTAATCAGGAGAAAGCGAGCCCCATATTGGCACCATCCAATCAGAGTAAACAGAAACGTTTGGAGCAGCTCACAACTCAATTGCTGTGGCGCCTACAGCAGTCGTCTCCGTATCATGCATCATCTACAAGTGATCTTGTATTACCGAAGTGAGTGCATTACCCCATAGCGGTGATTCTGTGTTAGGCCGATGTGGTCCAATCTCAGATTAAAATAATCAAATTTGAGACATGCAATGAAGTATACCTGGTTATGTATTAACTTGCGCTGATTTTGATGTACAACAGATTGCCTGGCAGCGCAACGAGCTTAGATCCCCCTTCAAGACCCGGGAAACTGTTAGCTGGGCTTGAGGAAAGCCGTGGAGCACTGTATGAAATAGGTGTTTCCGATGATGGTACATTTGTCGGTCTGACGAGTGATGAATTAGACGAGAGTTTGACAAACCTACGGGCTATGGCAGCTAGTCTCGGATGTAATGTTGAGATCGTTCGAAAGGTAGTTGTTGGGGAATGTGAATGGCAAGAGACAGATGAACCCCCAAAGTCTCAAATTTCGCAGCGAATCAAGAAACAAAAGCCATGGCTGGTCCCTGAAGACCAAGCGATATCAACAAATTTCCGGCACCGAGAGAAATTGTGGGTCGCTGAAGCCCTCATAACTCCAGATCTCAGTTCGAAACGAGCACAGTCAATAAGCTACGACGAAGCTCCTGTCATTCGTCAACATACTCCACAGCCTACCATTAGTGAGGTTACCGAGGCCCCCGCTCTTCAACATGAGGATACAACTGAACAGCTGCGTATCACCCTTACTGGTCCCACTACATCTGGAAAATCAAGTCTTCTAGGTACTTTGTCAACTACAACGCTTGATAATGGTAGAGGTAAAAGCAGACTTAGTCTATTGAAGCATCGTCACGAAATTGCTACAGGGATTACAAGTTCTGTGGCGCAGGAGTTGATCGGCTATAAAGACTCACAGGTCATAAATTACGCTTCTGGCAATGTAACGTCCTGGACAGATATTCATGCTACAGCAGAAGATGGCCGGCTTCTATTTGTTTCTGACTCTGCTGGTCATCCAAGGTATCGCAGGACAACAGTTCGAGGCTTGGTTGGTTGGGCTCCCCATTGGACTGTTCTATGTGTCGCAGCAGATGACACTGGTTCGAGCAGTACCGGAAGTACTTCAACGACAGAGCTTCTTGGCACTGTTGGAGCAGGAACCGATCTTGCAAAAGCACATCTTGAGCTTTGTTTGAAATTGGATAAACCTTTGGCTATTGTAATCACCAAGCTTGATCTGGCTTCAAGACCTCGTCTAAGCGAGACACTGTCGAAACTTCTATCTGCTATCAAAGCAACAGGGAGAACTCCTTCGATTCTTCCGCCAGATAATTCTAAAAATATCATTGATGCCGATCTAACTAGCATACTGCCTGAAGATACTAATACTGTTAGAAAAGTCATCAATACGATGGCAATGTCAGATCTCAGGTCCATTGTTCCTATTATCCTTACAAGTGCGGTCAAGGGAACCGGTGTTCGTCAGCTTCATGCTCTTTTCCAAGCTTTGCCGATACCTACACCACCCACCCCTCACGATTATATTGGCATGGCACTCAATCCAGAGCAACCTTCATCTCTATTCCACATTGAAGATGTGTTTGGTGTACCAGCTTCCTATGATGCTTTAGTCTGTAATAGTAATGGTATTGATGCGGGAACTGTAGTTGCCGGTCATCTTAGGTTTGGTAGGCTATCAATCGGAGATAGTATTGTCGTAGGCCCTTTCCCAGCAGATTCTGACGATGATGACTCCCCTCAGACTGGTCCCCGTTCTTCGCCCACCAGTCTAGGTACCTCACTCACGCATCCCTCGGCAACCGAACTTTCTAGGATAGCTTTAAGAAACACGCCATCCGCTTCGGTTACTAAAGGCGAATGGCACAATGCACATATAGTCAGCATTCGCAATCTTCGCCTTCCAGTGCACACAATTGAAGCTGGTCAAGTCGGAACCATCGGCATTGTTCTAGACTTACCGACTCAAGAAGACTCAGAAAGTCCTATAGAACGTTCTTCTCAAACTGCTCCTCGAATCCGCAAAGGGATGGTGATGGCGATACCCAGTAAACATATGATTCAAACTCATCATTCTCTTCAAGCTGCCAGTGGTTTCACTGCATCCTTTGATGATGGCGACATTAATTCCGTCACTCCGGGCACAGTAGTAGTAATATACATAGCCAGTGTTCGCGCTTCAGCTCGGGTTCTCAAATTAACCCCAAATCTCCCTGCCAGAGATATGGAAGCAGAAGACACAGATGATGTTTTTGGATTGGGATTACTGGACGGTTGTGATGTAACTGATTCCAACGGGAAATCAAAAGATGAGCCATTTGTTTTTGGCACTGATGGCATTACAGATGTCAGTTTTGAATTGTTGACATCTAGGGAATGGATAGAGTTGGGTAGTCAGGTTCTGGTCATGCCCGGGGGTGGTCATGGACTGTATTCCGGAAGCGAGAGGGGAGAGAAGGGAGTTGCTGGGTTGGAAGGCTTTGTAGGGAGAGTTGGGGAGGTTGTTGATTAAATGTGTCTCTTGGATTGATGGGTTTCAATTATTGGCTTGGCTATGTACCGACAAAGGTACGAGGTGTTGCATGGGATACTATTATGTGTATGTTGTTTAAAAGTACGTACCTTGTGCACCACACCAGAAGGAGTAATTTCGGGGAGTAACCTTTGTCATCGACTAAAGGAATGCAAGATAGTTCTTACAAGAGTCCATCTTTTGTTACCAATTGTTAATTATCCTTTCCTTTCTGTTTTACAATTTTTCTCATCCCTTCAACCTTGCTTCATCTCTCATGCACAAACTTGCCAATTCATTTACATGCCATGAGTTCAAAAAGTCATCTGGATACTGTAGTGATTGAGCTGGGAAAAAGCTGCTGAACAATGGAAGCACCGGCAGTAAAGCGTGCTCCCGTCTATTCTGCTGCAACACGTGCACATGGACAAACACGCAAAACACAAACTTCTTCATCTCACATTTAAATCATGAATTGATCACATAAATTTCTGAAACTAAACTGTGGTGTGGTCCTTTCATTTAATTTTTTTAAAAGCCGGCAATATCCTCCCATTTACCAAACACAGTCTACATCCCAAGTGAATTCTTAGTGCTATCATGCCAGAGGGAAATGAGGGCTCGGCGGCTTCTGGCCCTCCTGAATATCAGGTATTCGATCCACGCAGTGCTTTCACGTTGCTCTCTCCCCCGAGAACCGAAGAGCGCACTGGCTCCCTCGAGCGTAACCTTGCATTGGACCCCATGCCTATCATCAGAAGATTCTACCCGCCCCTGCCCACTGACACCCCTAATATGCTTTTCAACCCCGCTCACCGTTTCATCCGCCGCACTAATCCCCACGAGATACTAATATACACCGATGGTTCCTGTCTATCCAATGGCCTCGAGGGATCCCGCGCCGGTTGTGGTTTCGTCATCTCCCCTCATCACAAACTTGGTTTCAGGCTCGAAAACTTGGGACCAACCGGTGAATCCCATCCCCAAACCAGCAATCGCGCCGAACTGCGAGCCGTTGTTGCTGCTCTCGAATATCGCATCTGGCAAGGTGATAGCTATGGGGCCTGGACCCGTCTCATCATCGCTACCGACTCTGAATATGTGGTTCTTGGCGCCACTGAGCGAATCAATCGTTGGATTCAGCGGGGCTGGCGTACCAGCACGGGAAGTGCGATCATGAATCAGGATTTGTGGAAGCGATTGATATATTATATCAAGAAAGCGGCTCGACCTGTGGGGTTCTCGGGACCTCCTCATGGGACCAGCGTGGCATTTTGGAAGATTCCGAGGGAGTGGAATGGGGAAGCGGACGCCGAGGCGAGGAAAGGAGCCCAATTGGAGGGGAGACAGGAATTTCAGGTAATGAGTGGAATGATGGTTTAATATTTTGCGGCAGAGAATCAGACACTGCATTTCGGCGGTGCGATGACTATCATTTATTTCAATGTTTCACAATTAAACATCTAAGTATGAATATGTACTATAAGAAATGTTCGTCACATGCTTTTGTGATGTTTTTTGTGATGGCTTGTATTTACCTCACAAGAGACTCTACAAATCGATTTGAGATTTGGATTGGATAAGAGATTGATTACTGTCTAGCCCGTGATATGATTCGAAAACTTCAAAAATCCTCTAGTTTATAAACCTCATAACTGACTTCTTCGTACGGGTGTGTTCTGTTCTCTAGAATTAGCCCCGTCTTCTGCTAAAAAACTCTCGCCATCCCCTTCTTCGCTTCTTCTTGAATTCCACGTCTCCTTTAAATGAACAACTAAACATGAAACTCACCTCTTCAATGCCTCAACCGCTTTCCTTGTAACTTCCTCCCCGGTGCACAAAATATGCACCAAAACCTCCTCCGTTCGTTCTAACACTCCTACTTTCCCTGTGTGAGGCACAGCTCCCTTCTCTGCTACTGGTAAAAATTGCCCTAAACCTGGGATTTCAAAACAGACTTTGATGTATTTTCCATCGGCGTACACTCCACCACCTACAGCGAATATGGCATCTTTTGTCGCGGAGAGGTGAGATGGGAGGACGCGATAGACAAGCTTGTAGCGTGTTTGAGAGTTCGAGGAGGTGGACATCTTTGAGTTTTGGTTTGTAGAGATGAGATGAGATAGGATTGGGGGATGAATGCAACAAAGGAATAGATTTTACCTACATACTCTCTACAGCGAATTTATCATTTTAATATCGTCAATTCAACTATCACCGAACAATAAACATGTTAACGGCGATTCATGAATATTTCTTCAAATCTATTACACATAACAAATCTATTCCGCGCTATCTCTGACGCACCCCACAAAGTGGTTTATATAGCACGAGTAAAATACCACAGCGTCGGTGTCGATGCATCCAAGAAAAAGCAAACTTTCAATTCATTCATTTAATTCGCTCATCTTATCCTCGCCGCTTAAAGCCTGCAATCCTTATCGTACCTCTTACCATTCAACATCTAGTCAATCTACCCTGAGCCACCTCCTTATCTTTACCTCACACACCTTGCGTCATGCTATAAAATCAATTAAACAGCGCTGGATCCTGGAATTCCAAGAATTTGTATTATCAATAAATACTCCCCGGTACCTACACTCCTTACCATATTCCTCGTCCCAAAGTCTGGGCATGGTCTGATGAAAGGATAATGGGTCAAGCATCTTCTTCTCCTTCTACCTCTCCTATTTCTCCTAGAACTGCGACGCTTCCTAGAAATTATCGTGGAAATTCACGTGAGAATGAGAATGAGAGATTTATCAGTACGGAGACGACACAGTTGTTGACACCAGATCCGGAGGAGGATATTGAGGGAGATGCGGATGTGAGGAGTGGAGATGGGCATAGGAGTATGGTTATAGGGAGACATGATGGCCATGCGTGTTATCACCCTCATGCCATAGGAGATATATGTTATCCCCAAGATGAATTTGGGGATTTGCCGGTTTACAAGACGATTCATCGGTTTGTTTCCTGATTCATATTTATTTTAGCCGGAGAATGATACTGATAGATTGTTAGGATAAGGAGAGATATTATCTCGGCGATTGGTGAGTTTTAACAAACGGTGAGATAGGAGAGTGAGACTTAGACTAACGGGAAAGATAGATGATCCATATAGTTTGGAACAATTGAGGGATCCGAGATTGAATGTATCGGTTGTGAGGCCATTGGTAGATAAGCTGTATGATTTGGATGATTTGTCGGTTGGTATGTTACTGTTTTCTTATACTTATTCTTATTCTTATTATTTCACTTTGAAGGTTGGGGGAATAAATATCTGTACTTTTCCAAGTGATTAGAACAACAACCAAAAGAAGGACATTTGGAAATTGTTTGATGAGGAGATGGTAAATATGGGCGGTGTTTTTGAGTAGTTCTCAAAGATCACACGTGTTCCTACCATGAGCACTCCATAAAGTCATTGTGTTTCTTCCAGATCAAATCCTGCTTCCAGATACTGATAAAGTCCAAGTCTATTGTCTTCTCGTCAACAAAACACAGTTCCAACGTGAACAATTGGCTCTACCTCATCAACAGAGCATTTGCACCACACGTGCACATTTATGCGAGATAGTCGCCAATCGAGTTCTGCGCCGTTTCCACGAGGATCATACCGGCTCGGAAGGGTTACTTCTTCTGTCTCGCATTCTCGTCGGAGGTTTCGATCCATTTCAAGGTGCTCCAAACAATGTCATCCAAGAAAGCAGCGACTTTGGTTGGGCTGCCAAGTCCCGTACAGGCGCCAATCGAAGATTACCAGCCTTAGAAATTGCCATTATTTCTCAAAGCAAGGCTTTCCTCAGTTCGTCTGCTTGCCAAAAAGTGATAAGCGCAATATACGAGGGTAGGGTCATATACACTCCAACGGCGTTCATGGATATTCTACCTGATCACTACAAGAATAAACCGATTTCATTGTACAATCCAAGAGAGGCGCCATTGTTCAATCAATATAGACTTATAGTTCCTCGTACGAGGAACTATTTGGAAGTTTGCCACTTTCTGCTACTGTTGGTTTTCTATTTGTATGTCATGGCAGATCGCGATCCATCTACTTTCGGTGGGATGGAATTGTTATTCATTATCTATACATCGGGCTGGTCTTTAGATCAATTGTAAGTCCTTTGGAACAACCCACTGAAATTTTGCAGTCTTTATTAACACCAATCCCAGTTGCTCTATACTTGAACATGGATGGCACGTATACACCCAGAATCTGTGGTCCTTCCTCGATGTTACTTTCGCCGCGATCTTTGGAATTTATCTCGCGCTCCGCTTCAAAGGCTGGCACACTGATAACGTTGGCACTGGCCAACAAGCACTAGATGTACTCGCCTTGGGAGCTCCTGTCCTTGTTCCACGTCTAGCGTTCAATCTTATGTCCGAAAACATGCTTTTCATTTCTCTCCGGGCTATGATGCGCGATTTCACTGTACTCACGATCCTTGCTGTGTGGTGCTTTGCTGGATTCCTGCTCTCTATGATTTGGCTTGGAAATGGTATCCATGAGCCAATAACAGTTTCTAAATGGATGCTCTGGATATGGTTTGGACTCGATGGCACAGGCATCACAACATCTGCTCAATTCCACTGGCTCCTCGGTCCGATCCTCATGGTCACTTTCGCATTCCTTGGTAACACTCTCTTCCTTACCATCCTCGTGTCCATGCTTTCAACAACCTTTTCAACCATCGTTTCAAATGCTACCGCAGAAATCCAATTTCGCCGCGCCGTTCTTACTCTTGAAGGTGTAAAATCAGACTCCCTATTCGCCTATTTCCCTCCTTTCAACATCCTTGCCCTCTTTGTCCTCATGCCTCTAAAATTCGTCCTAACACCTCGCTGGTTCCACAAGATCAACGTAGCAGCCGTGCGTTTTCTCAATGCTCCTCTTCTACTCCTTATCGGCTATCTCGAACGACGTCAGTTGTGGGCTGGCCCCCGTCGTCAAAAAGAAGCAGAACAACTACCCCGCCTCCCACATCGTCCTCGACTTTGGGATTTTTCCAGAGGCTTTAGCGTTCACGGTGACTTGCAAGCAGTATTTGATGCCGAACCTCCGAGTGATATCGCGGATGAAATTGGAATAGAATCGGACAACGATGTCCGACGCGATCGGAATGTTTTCGAAAATGACTTTGCGCGAGAATTCAATGGGTCGAAAAAGTCAAACTCGAAATCTGGACAACAACCAGTTAATCCGAGAGAACACATGAAGAGAAGAGATACGGCTAATAGCGCTAAGAGAATTAGAAGAGATTCGGTAGCTCCATTCGCGGGAATGACCATACCGAAACATTTGAGAGATTTGTTGAATGAGGGGAGTAGTGATGAGGCAGGTGAGGATACCAAGGGAAGGTTAGAGAAACTTGAGCAATGTATGGGGAGAGTGGAAGGGTTATTAGGGCGATTGTGTAGGGAGTTGGATGGGAAGAGTGAAGAAGGTGGAGGTGAAGAGGGAGATATAGGAGGAGAAGGAACATTAAGTGATTTAGATACGAGTGTGGCGGTAGAATTTTCAGATGACTAGATTCAGTGTGAGATGGGTGTTATAGGTTGGAGTAACGAGACATAAATGGGTGGTTGTATCAAATTGATTTACATGCATAAAATAGAGGTGGGGTTGGTAGCATTCTTTTTTGGTCTGTTGGTTAGCATAGCGGAGCGAGTTAAATTGAGAACCTGGTAAAGTTGTTATTCGAGCTTTGAGATTGAATAAACATACATACACAAATACATACATACTATTTGTTACAATTCTCAAGTACATTAATGTACTGTATATCCCGATCAACAAGTATATAGTGAAAACCAAAACAGGCAATCAGTATTTCCCAATATCCCATCTAAAGCAGCTAAAGCGTACCATATTCATCCAAACACCTCCAGACAAATATCCACTAGCGTCTTTCATTAATTTCGTTGCACCTCTACTCCATCCGATACATGATATTACTCGCTTAAATATGTACACTCCATCAATACATAGCACTCGCTAGCCGATCCACTCACAGCCCAAACCCGAACCTGAGTAGATCGTCGGGTCGAGTAACAAGTACGTGAATTTGTAGATATGCAATAAAACTTAATAACCCCCATCAATGTGGTTTATTGTCATTAGTGTATATTCGCTAAACTGTTCGAATGTTAGTGATTGAACAAAAGAGGAGCTCTTGTTGCGTTGTTATATATCTGATTGGATACCCCGGGGGTATAGTCGGTACACTATCTATCAGTTGTTGTATATTTTCTAGCTTGGATATTACCCCAGATATCTAATCAAATAAACTATTATGACTGCTATGCTCTGCGAAAACGTATACGTACGTGCGTACCTACCCATCAGGCATACAACGAAACTTCATCGGGTCCATCAAGTTTTCGCATACATACACGCGGATGTACCACCCAAACTGGGTTGTGGAATAAACTCGCAGATTGGGTCTACAAGTAATATTGATGCAGAGATAGCATCTGTTCAGAAGGAGATATCAAGAATGAAAGAAAGTAAATATCTATGGTACTCTCATCTAGAATATTCCGCATTTCGAAAACTACCTAAGATGAGAATTATGTAGACTTCCAAAACTGGACTTGCAGGGAGAAAACCGTGTGTGTATGTATCCGTATGATCCAAATTGACTGTATATATATTTGATTACTGAGAGTTAATCAGATCTCCCAGACGAGAAACTGAAATGAAGCAACCAACCCAACTGAGTTTTCGTGTGAAGATTTCTAGCATTTAATATCTCAGAAGGCAAATTTGCTATAATTCTTTCATAAAGAAATAATTCTTCATCATGGAAATACCATACTTCTTTCATAAGCAAAATAATCTCAGCTAATTACTACTGAATATTCATCCTGACAGCTACGCAGCTTCAGATGGAATTCACCTCACCTCACTCAAATATAATAAATAAGCCATGAATAGGTATACCCGTGGACCTCCTATCCCTCCTATCCCTTCTCTACTCTATAACCTACAAGTAAGTAAAAATAAACGCAGTGCATCATTCACTCATACTCCTCACTCGAAAGTACCACCAGCAAGAGGAGAGGAGGGATTATAAAAGACTTC